ACATATTCACATTCTATGAGCTGCACGTGTAGTTCCACAGATCAACTTGTAAAAATGAGCAGAGCTCTACATTCATTACAGGAGCAGTCCTGGTTTCATCCACCCACTTTTTCCACAAACACACATTYAGTAGAATATAGTATAGAACAGCACATGGTTCTTATAGCACCAATAACAGGCTATTCATATTCTCATAATGATAATAGTCAGTGTTGTGTCAGTTCACGTTTGAAAAGAACTAGTTCACGTTCATTGAATCCAGTTTGTATCAGGATGATTTAGGTGACAAACTTACCATCATGTGTTCAGTGATGAATGGATGGTGTCGGATCATCACTTTAACACTGACTCCTGCTGTTCACGTCACGTCTCGTGTTGTACTGAGCACACAAAGTGGACTGGTTATTTCTCATGATGTTTAAATGCAGCCTCATAAACTCTGGAAGGAATCAAACCAACACTAAGTAAACTTCATGTACTGATCAGGTCCTAGTTGTCACCAGAGTGTCAAATGACACGTTAAATATGTGGATATGTGTTTATTGAGTATTGAATATTCTCCTCTTATTTTTAAAAACAACAGTTTCTTCCTGATCTACTTCCTGAACTACTTCCTGATCCACTTCCTGATTTACTTCCTGATTTCATAAAAATGTATCTTTATTGTCTGAACCCAGAGAAGCTGAATGCATCACAGTGAAATAATCCTCGATGTAAAATACAAGAGTCCCTTCTTCAACAATGGTTGTTCAAGCCTCACTGAGTTTAAACTCCTCAGTAGTGACAACAGGCCGTCGCCTCGTCACACAATATTTAGTACGTGTTACTTCAATGTAAAAACTTGACTCTTTGTGAGTAAGACTCTTTTTCAACATGTAAAGACGCTGCAGAAACTTCTCTTTCACGTTGAATCAACTTTAACCACAAAGAAACTTTTCATGTTGAATGAACAAACATTTCTGTCTGTGAACACAGAATTATAATATCAAATAATGAGAAAAGACAAAGTCTGAATGACACAATAAAGAGTCCAGAGATCAACTAACAAACAAGACAACAACACTTTCAGGGATAAACAACAAACACACTGATCAGTTCAAATCATTCTGTTTCTCAGACTTTGAGCAGAGTGAACCCTCTTTAACACACAAAACTATACAAACACAAACACAAGCTT